TACAGTTCATGAAATATTAATATCTTTGTTATAAATATAAGAGTATACAAAAAGAATTAATGATTGAAATAAGTACATAGTATAATTTAATTTATATTCATTTGCCAATATGAAAATATAAACATATTTTTATTATTTCTTATTATAATATAATGTTCTAGGGTTACGATTATACCAGAAGTGGAAATCCTACAAGAGATGTTTTAGAAACTTGTTTAGCTACTTTAGAAAATGGAAAACATGGATTTGCATTTTCATCTGGTTTAGGTGCTACATCAGTATTATGTTCATTATTAAAAACAGGAGATCATATACTATCTGGAAATGATATTTATGGTGGAACAAATCGTTATTTTCAAAGATGTTTAATTACACATGGTGTTGAAGTAACTTTTGTGGATGGAACTGATATACACAAGATTACAACTGCCATTAAAGCAAATACAAAAGTATCAAAAATTTTCAATATCAATAAAAACTGTACTGTAACCAAATGTTTTTAACATTTATGTATGTACACTATTTTTTAGATGCTTTGGTTGGAGACGCCTACAAATCCTTTACTTAAAGTTATTGATCTCAAAGCTGTATGTGAGATAATGAAAACTAAATATCCCGAGATTATTGTAGTTGTAGACAATACTTTTCTAACATGCTGTTTTCAGGTATGCAATATTTTTCATTCAGTGTTGAAATTTCTTTATGCACATTGTACTATAATATATTTTTGTTGTAGAAACCTTTAGAATTTGGTGCAGATATTGTACTGTATTCTTTAACAAAATACATGAATGGACATGCAGATGTGTGCATGGGTGCAGCAATAACTAGAAGAGATGATATTGCAGAAAGACTTCGATTTTTACAAAATGGTGAATTTACATTATGCAATTTATACATTGAACTGTTTTCCTTTATTTAAAATTAACCTTTGCTATTTTAGCTCTAGGTATTGTGCCATCACCTTTTGACTGTTCTTTGGTTAATCGCAGTCTAAAAACATTAGAACTCAGAATGCAGCAACATATGAAGAATGGATTAGCAGTTGCAAAATATTTAGACTCACATCCTTTTGTAGAGAAAGTAATTCATCCATGTATGTATTTAACTTACTTATTCTAAAGAATCTTATATTTTCTTTGCTAAAGATATCATTTTGTTTAAACTTGTTACATAATTGAATCTCTTCATTGTTATATTACATAATACATACTACTTTCCAGATTTTCCATCACATCCACAACAAGAAATTAGTCTTAAACAAACTACTGGCCACAGTGGAATGGTTTCATTCTATCTTAAAGGAGATTCTAGAAAATTTTTACGATCATTGAAGATCTTTACATTAGCAGAATCGCTCGGTGGTTTTGAATCCCTTGCCGAATTACCGTGAGTAAATACTAATTATATCTACATTTATTATACATATTTCTAATTATATAGAATGTTTCATGTGAAATTTCTTTAATAGATCCGTCATGACACACGCCTCCGTTCCTGAAGAAATGAGAGCCGAATTGGGTATTACTGATCAATTAATTCGTTTATCTGTTGGCCTTGAAACAGAACGCGACCTTTTAGCTGACCTTGATCAAGCTCTTAAAGCTTGTCAAATTCATTAAAATAACAAAATTTGATACTACAAAATTATTAAATTTTAACGAAGATTTAGATATTGTTATCCAAATGATAACATTCCAAAATGATTGTATGGATATGTAAAAAAGAGATCTGGATCATACATACAATACAGTTCCTTTATACATAGACATAATTTATTTTCCCAATGCATTTATAAAAAATTTTATATACCTACATATAAAATAGGGAAAGAGAATTCTAAACAATAATATATTAAAAATGTTAAGCCAAATTTTATAAACTTGTTTAATAGCTTTAATGTTAAACAAATAACTTAATATTGTAATATTCTTCAATTAGAACAGTTTATACAAAAAATCATCTTTTTGTAAATAAAATGAAAGAG